GTGACAAAAATAGTGTAGATAAAACCCAAAACTCCCCCAATCCCTTCATAGCCCCTCCTGTTTAGTTTGCATTTGTGCTGCCATCTGGCGATCACATTTCAAATGGCAGCTATAGGGCCAAATGTTCATACCTATAGGGCCAAACTGCTTTTTCTTACCTGAGGTCATGCCTAGGAGATAACCAGAAAAAGTAAGTGTCAAGTAAAAGCAGGGCTCCTCATTGAAAAGTCAGTATGATTTTCAGGATGGTGAATGCAGAGTACTAAACCTAGCAGCAGCTCTTAGTGACTGCACAGAGTATGGGCACATGAAGCTAAACCTCCCCAGCAGGGCAAATGCTCATCCTCCAAGTCAATTTTGCACCAAGCTCAAGTCACAAAATTCATACAGACTTACAGCTAATGCCATTCTTAATGGGTTGAACTATAGGATTTCTTGCTGGAAATGATCAAAAGGGCAAATTTTCTAAATGCCTCAGTAGAAACATGGGCTCTGAAGGGTGGAAGTGCTTGTCTACTAATGTTGATACTTTTCAGACAATGACATTAGTGATACCAGTGACACCAGGGAAAAGATAAGCTGCAAAGATGGGTAGTTTATGCAAAGCATCACGTCCACATCAGTGATCATTCAGGAATCTGCCACACAGTGTGGGCTATGCTGGACATACCCTCCTGAGTAAAAGACATGTTGTTGTGTTTCTATCTCCATTCAGTTAATGTTAGAAAAATGAAAGGTGCTTTGTGAACCCTCTGGTTTGACCTAATGAGAGAATGAGATTCAGAATTCTAGGCTTCAGGGCAAGGCTATGCTTTCTAAAGCAATACTGCAATAGCTCCTGACTGGCTTTTAACTCCCACAGGAGTAATATTATCTAAATATGGGCTGCAATGTGACAAGGTGGCCAGATCTCCTCAGATTTGGGTTCTATTGTATGCACGGATGTTAAGGTCAAGTAGGAAGAATGGCATCCATCACAGGCAGAAGTGATAGATCTGTATCTGGATTAAACAAGGGCAGGTGGCCCAGACCTTTAGCACCTACTGCTTCAGGGAGGGACCTGCCAATTAGCTTTCACCATGGAATCACAGAAAGTTTACTGTCACTTTCAAGAAAGAAGTCAACATCTCAACTCCGAGTTCATTCTGGCCCTCAATGCTCCCTCCCAACTGCACACATCATTTTGCCACTTTTTCCCCTCTCTTCAGGCACCTAGTCAACCTACTAACACACAAATATCCTAAAACATGGTTAACTTGTTCACTCAGCTGAGGCATCTTTCATAATATGGCACTGAGTTTTAGTTACTCTCGTTCTCCAAGGCCATGTGAAGACGGTGGTTCTCAAAGCACACTTTGAGAGCCTGCTGCATAGGTTTCCACTGGGTTGAATAGAAACTGGATACCATTGACCTTCAATCTTTTCCTCATCCTCAAGATGGCCCTGTGTTCCCCACCTATGCCAGGTTTCATTGCAATCCCTCTGCTAGTCTGACTACCACACCCTTCAAATCCCTCCTTGATTCAAGTTTCTGTACTCATGGTGTTCCCAATTATACAAACATTCATCACTCCTCAGAATCCTAGTCCCAAACAGGAAGCTCATCCCATCTCTCTTTTGACTCTTATTCCATGTCTCCTGTTTCATGACATTTGTTGCCTAGTACAGAAGCTTTTTTCTCTTACACTAATCTTAGTAGACAAATCTGAGTCTTCAAAACCTTACCCTTTTTGCCAACCCCGTGTCTCTCCCCACATACCCATTCTTGTCTGGGAGAATGGCTCCTCTCTCTTAACCACAAGAGCTCCAGTGGCCCCTCCTTTGTCACTTAGGTCAGCCCATTACTTATATGCCTCAGACCCATTCTTAGCTTCCTTAACAAAACCCTCCTCCATCACCTTCTTATGTCTTCTTTAATCCATAAAATTCCTAATATTTAAAACACATATGCTTTGTACTTTCCCATCAGGGCTCTGAGCAGACCCTATTTCTTTTTGACTCCCCTGTATGCACACCTCTGCCTACCCACAGTCCACCTCTGACCAGAGGATTCTGTCAAATGTCTCAGAGGACCCAGGTAGGATTATAAAGTAGACCAGAAAAGAGGTATTTCCCATTTATCAAGTTCTGATTGTAGACACTAAAGGTAGAGGTGTGGACTTTGTACACATAACAGAGAAATCAAAGAAAAAGACACTGATTTGTGCCCTGAGTTCCAGGTCACAGGAGACACAAAATAGAGTCTCCCAGTGCAGGCCTGTGAGGGCTGATGTCACAGGGACACGCTTGTTTACTAGACTTTCTAGGGCTCATGACAGAATAGTTTTCAAACATCTGTATGCTATTTCTTGAATGTGAGTGAAAATGTATGTACAATGCAAACACTGCTGATGAGTAGGCCACTTCAGAGGTGCAGAGGTTCTCATCTGCCTTTTCTATCAGATTCTAAGATAAAGGCCACTTCAACAAAAACACATCTTAAGAGAAATCTGAGAAGTCAGGTAGTCTTTGACTGTGGACACCAATACAGAAGAAAGGGAGGACAATTGGAAACAGTTACTTGGAAAATTGCAGCCAGAGTTTTTAAAATTGAAAGATTTGGAAACAAGGAAATGATGGGCACTGTAAGAGAGATGAAAAGATCTGCTAATTACAAGTAGGTGATGTCAGAGGGAAAGATGCATCACAGAAGTTTAAAGGGGCAAGAGAGACTTTATTGAAGACCATGTGTTAGTATAGTGAGGCAGAATGCAACACCCTTGAAAGACAAGGCTGAGAATATTTTAAGAACAAGAGAAAGACTCAAAGTCACCTCTGTTTGCTTTTTGCCTTAACAAGAAAGAAATGTAAAGTAGAGCATTTCATGAAATCTTCTCAGTATGTCTTTCTACCACATGCTGTTAAAGGTCCTTACACAAGTGTGGCATTTGCCCTCCCAGAGAGATGAGACACAGACAACAGGAGGATTAAATGTAAAGTCATGGGCACATGTCCTTGTGACAGATACACTGTGAGTCATAACGCTGGCAAGGAGATTTTAAGGAAACTCAATGTGCAATTCCAATGGGCAATAAAGGGATCTATAGTCACAAATTGCAATTCTATTTCTGAAGAAAATGATCTAAAAGTATGGAGGGAAGAGTCATGCAGTCAAGAAGAAACTGTGTAAAGGTCAGAGACTCTGAGGAACATGAAGGCCTCTGGATCATAACAAAACTGCTTTCTGGACAGTGGAGGGAAAGGCAACTATATCTCTTTCAGCCAAGACCCAGTTTTCATCTCCATCAGCTATTGCAATTTATGAAGAGATGCAAGTAACCAGCTATTTATAAACAGGTGCAAAAAAACTGAGGGCCCCTGAACAGAGCCAGAATATGATCTCCCAGAAGGCTGTGCTTTGGGAGATTTCCACTAAGACATTATTCTTAGTGGAAATATTCTTAGTCAAAAATATGAAGTATTTTCATATTTTTCTCTACAGTAACATTCCTTCTCATCAAACGTTATTCCTAAGGAAGAAATGTGTACTTGATCCAACCAATTAGCTGGAGTCACATGGTTTGACTTGGTTAGTAACCTAAGTGCAGAGGAACTGACTTTTACCCCTTGGTTTGCTCTGATGAAGATTTTTTCTTATAAAACATATGATGGGAGTTTTGTGCACTTGAGGTGAAAAAGCTTGTTCCTCACACTACACCTACAGTCTCTCTAGCTTTGAGTCTTGTACTCTTCTCCAGAAGGTACTAAAGGACCAAGAGATCAAACTTAGCTTCATAAACTATGGGTTCATTCCTAATTCCATGGGCATTCGTCTGAACTAGGAAATTTAAGCTAAAGTTCTGGCTTTATACCAAAGTCTCCAATTACATCTTATTAGCAAAAAGAACTGAAATGTACTAAACTTATTCAAATAGTTCTGCTTCTTGTTGTGTTTTTTCATTGTTGCTCAAGCACAGTTGTCTGCTTCCCCCAAAAAAAACTTCCCCCCCGCACCACCCCAGCCATCCCCACCTCCCTCTGCTCATCCTGTGCCCTCTTGGATTTGTCCATGTGTCCTTTATAATTCTTCCTGAAAGCCCTGTTCTCTTCCTCTCATTATCCCCTCCTGACTTCATTCTTGTTACTGTCAGTTTGATTTTAATTTAAATGTCTTTGTTTATATTTTGCTTGCTTGTTTCTTTTGTTGATTAGGTGCCACTTGAAGGTTAGATCATATAGTATGTCTTTTACTGCCTGGCTTATTTCACTTAGCATAATGTTCTCCAGTTCCATCCATGCTGTTGCAAAGGTAGGAGCTCCATCTTTCTTTCTGCTTCATAGTATTCCATTGTATAAACATACCATGTTTTTTTTACCCATTCACAAATAGAGTTATTGTCATATAAATAACAGTACTGGACACTTGAGAAATCTTTTAAAATATTTCTAAGAGAAAGTTAGGATCAGTGTTGCTTCCCACATGGGTGTCCTCTTTTTCATTCCCATTGTCTGCAACTGTGACCAGGTGCCTCTTCCTGTTTACATGGAGAAGTGACAGAGCTCATATTCTGTGAGTTGATCACCTGCTCCCATTGCTTATCATAGGACCACTGCTTATTCTCTGAGGGACACAAAGTTAACTTCACTGTGGACATGGGACAAATGAGACCAAACCAAGGCAGGTGTGGGTTTGAAATGTGACCTTAAACCAACAACAATGACAATATCAGCTTACATTTTTTCATCCTTATTGCCTTAATGTAAACCTCTTAATAACTATTCATCTGCAGAGACATATAGTATAATAATGCAAATAAATTTAATTTAGAGTTCAATTACACAGATGAAGAAATGAGGGTCCCTAATATAGCACATGCAGTTGAAGGGACTGACTTTCAACCCACATGAGAGGGTTTGATGCTTTGCACTTATACTCTCCTGCATCTTCTCTCTTGACTGGGTTTATGGTGATTCTTCTGCCATCTGCAGTCAGCTTTGTTCTGTCTGTGAACTTTATATACCTGTCATTGAACAGCCACTGGACAATGGGTGCGTTTGTGTAGCAGGTCAATACAACATCATCTTCATTCTCTCTGAGTTCATAGCTGCTAACTAGGAGGACAGGCACTTTCAGAGGCTCTGCAGAGAAACAGAGAATGTGAATCTTTGAGAATATGCTTGAGACATGGAGCCATGCTGTTTCCTCAGAGATCTCCACTACTCACAATCCACAGGGAGCTAAGTAAATGTCACTGGAGTATGGTCCTGACATTTGCAGAAAAAAATTGTCTAAGCTCAGGTGACATTATGTAAAGTGAAAGCTTCACCTCCTCTCTGAGCCCATATTACCTCAGGGGGATTCTATACCTACTCCCTCACTCCTCTCTGTAGTAGCAGCACATAAATCCCCTTCCCAGTGCATATGGCTCATAACCTCATTATCAGGTACAATGTTTCTCTCATGAGCTTTATTGATCCTTTCCTAGAACTTTTTTTTAACTTCACAAAACATCAGGATTCACTCCTTATGTGAACATTCATATACTTAGGAGAAGGCAAGCTTACCACCTTTGTCCATCTCTGGGGCCAAGGGAAGTATACAGCAAGTGTAAAAGCATTCAGCTTTTCTTTAAAAAATTATTAGGCAGCAAGGATGACACAATCCAGTTTTCATGTCTATACACCTTTAGGATTTCTATCTAAAAAATTCTCACTCTGAACACGATTTTATTTCCTTGACAGCTGAATCAATATCATGGTATAATGAATCTCTAGAGAGAAGTAGTTAAGGTTTTAACAAAGGACATTGACTTAGAAATAAAAGAAAACTATTCATATAATGAACACCATACATAAAAGCCCAGAGCTAACTCAATATTCTCCATACTACTTGACCTTGTGGTAGACCAGAAGGCTATCCTCGAAGCTGCAAAGACATCTACAACCCAGCTGAAGTGTGTTTCTATGGAGCATCATTTCCCAATACATGCTAGAGACTGGGGTTTGAATGAAACAACAGAAAAGCCAGAAGCAAGGGAGCTAACAATGGCAATGCAATCATGTGCTCTGACCGTTCAAGTCATACTCTCTCCCCGGAGAGCAGATGGGGACTTGTGCAAATGCAAAATCAGTGTCATATAGCAAGCGTGGAGCATAGACTTGCTGAAATTCTGGACCTTGGGGCAATTTGTGTTAGGTGGCTATGAGATAGAAATGTAGGAAAACCTTAAAATTATTCTGCGTGTGAAAATGATAATTCATACCCCAGGGCCTAAGACTAATGGCAAGAAACACTATTTTCTGAGAAAAAATAAACTAGATGATAGCTATAGTTCCTGGAGGCACAGAAAATCTGTACCTCAGGGCCAGAATTTAAAGGACTTTGTATCCAGGTTCCAGGCTCAGAAGAGATTTTGAATCATTCACTCACTCACTTACTCATTCCTCTCTAATTTCTTCCTAATTCATCAACAGTAACTCGGTGTTAGTTACTTATGTGTCCCTGAGCTGGTTTCAGAGGTAAAGTGGGGAGTGAGAAGACAAAGTTCTTTCATTTACATCTGCCAGGAGAGACTGCACCAAAAAAAAAAAAAACACAAATAAGTGATGTCATATTCAGTGTGGGGAGGTGTAAATAAGCCCTGTGAGGGGGATTCCTGGGTAATCTGTAATCTATACAGTGATTCTGATTGTTACTGCAGGTAGTTTGGTTCTAGAGTAAAAATACACTATGTCTCCATTTTGTCACTCCACAGACCAAATTGTATGCCAATGAGCTGAGGACATTTAATACAAAAAAAGTTTCTGAACCAGTTTCTTTGGTTTAGAATCCAAAAACCCTCTTCTATGGTCCTTAAGGTAGAGAAATTAAGTCTATGGATACAGACAGACCAAGAATTACTCTGATCACCTGCTCATATTCTGTGTGACTCTGCTGTAGTGACTGTATCTCCCTGTTTCTCAGTTTGTTCTCAGTGAAGAAGGTTGTCACTGTGTTAACTATAAAATACTGTCAGTATCTGACCTACATCTTGAAAAAGAAGAGCTGCTCAAAGGAAGCATCTTTTATTGATCAACTCCCAGTTCTCTTATTGGTCTGGGCCGATCCCTGGTAAATGAGGACCTTCCAGGGGCATCTTTTATTCTCAGTTTTTTCCTGGATATGCTGACCTTTTTCTCAACCTTCTTAAGTCTGTCAGGACAGTCAACTATATCCACAGACATTGTCTAACTATGCTCTCCACACACAGACTCAGGTGATACCAAACTCCATTTCTGCCAAGATGTGACTCTTGGGCCTGAGCCAGGATTGGTGACAGGCTCAGGAGCCTTGTGACTCAGGCAACCATTAAAGCATTACACACTCAGCCCCTTTCAGGATGCCAAACTCAACCTGGCACAGGCTGCCTTGTATTTCTGGAGTCAAGTAACCTGGCACAGGGCTCTGGGGAGAAGTTTCTGAGCTGAGCTCTGTATGAATATCAGGAGGTTTCTCAGAAGATCATGCTCTGACCTACTATAGCAGGATCAGCCTCAGGTCAAGTTCATAGGAACATTCTCAGGGGCCTGATCTGATATTGGTCTCCCTCTGCTGAGTTACTCTCATCAGACTGACTCTTCTGTCTGCAGTGACTGTCTGCAGGGCTTCAAGTTGGGAAAAGAACTGAGGTCTTAAGAAGTTTGTCTACACTTTCTGTATCCTGCATTAAATGTCAAAACTGAACCTGAAACAAAATGCAGAGTGGAATGGAGGTAGTGTTCAGGGCTGTCAGCCCTGTGTGTGAAGTAGGGGGCACCCCACCCAACCCCCAGTCATCGGAGAGCAATCACTCACCATATACATCAAGTTGCCCAAATCCTATTTCTGTTTCTGAATCTGGAAAGTGGGCCACTATGGTGTACATTCCTGCGTCCATCATGGTGACCTGCTTCAACAGCAAGGATCCATCTTCAGTTATTATCTGCCGTTTGTTATTTTGAGGACCACTTAAATAGAAACTTGATGTCGGAATAAAAAATGCGATTACATTATTCCTATCCACACCTTCCCCCTTGTACCAAACAAAAGCTACAGCCTCCTGAGGCTTACTGGAGATATGCAGAACTACATCCTCCCCTTTGGCACTAAAGGTCGACACAATATTGAGTTGTTCTGTGGTGGGCAGGCTCCAGATGGTTAAGAGTAAGCCTAGAAAAAAAGAAACAAATGGATCAATATTTTTATTTATGTATTAGTACCTGAATCCTCAGGATGTCTATTCACCTCTCAGCTTTTGTCTAGAGGTATGTGTTGCCTATGGTCAAGTTCAACAGCATGGCCCCTATTACTTCAACACCTCTGAAACTGTTATTTTTTCTGATTTAAACACTACTCTTCAGGTGTTTTGCTTGGCAACCTCATCACTGTTCTTAGATCCCTTCTAAAATTCAGGGGCAGCTTTCAAAAGACATGTTTGCTGACTACCTTCTCTAAAGATTCTCTACCTTCACTTTCTGACCTGTCCTGCTCTATTTTTCATGCCTCTTGTGGGTACCCGACTTCACATCTACATCTTTCCATGTCTCTTTATCCTTCATAGAACTTGGATTTTCTGAGAGCAGGCTGCTCTGATCTAGTACCTCCAGTGACTGCAACAGCCTGGAAATACATGTGGTTGAATGAATGAGTTTTCCCAGAGTCCCAAGGTAAATCATGGGGTGTATTTGCCTATTTTTGAAGTTTTTAATAAAAACAATGCCTAGAACCCCTGGTTAATTTTTTCCTTCTGGCTCCTGACATTAATAATTATTATTAGTATTAGTATTTATAATTCAATACTTAATGATGAATAACCAGAAATAAAAAAGCAATTGAGGGTATTCTGTATGTCATCATTTCTCGATTACAAGATTTTCCTCTTGTAGAGCCCTCTTCCCCATCCTACTATGCTCCTTTCTCCTTCACCATCCGGTCCAAACAGAAGCCTTCCCATCTCTCTCAGATAAATGGTCTCTTCAGCAGATCCCACCAAGTCTCAGTGTCAAATCCTTCATCTACCCCAAGGAATTGTCTCCGACTTACCGGCCAACATGAGCCCTTGCCAGTGGGCAAGTCCTCTGTGGGTAGATACTGAAAGGGACCCCATGTTTTATGTCCTCTGCTCTGTAGCTGCCTCTTAGAGAGAAGCTTGAGGTTTGTTGAGGCTCAAAGGCAACTCTGACAAGAATGGTACAAACTGCGCTGTGTCCTACCTGTGGGCTAGCTTTATTCTGGGACAAGTTAACACTTCTTGTCATGTGGGATGGGGGCAGGGAATATGCACATGACCATCGCACTCCCTGTTCTAGTTTTTGCCACCCTTGGCCTTTCTAAACAGTACTGCCACTTCTATAATTTGGTTCCCTGGGAAACCATGAGGCCCCTCAACACCACATCAAAACACATGCAAACACAGGCATGCATGCATGCATAAAGACACATGCACATACACCCAATTTCATACCATATTTAGAAAAGCACAAGCTTGTGGTTTCTGCAGTCAAGGATTTCTCCACAGCTTCCTGTCAGGTAGCCAGTAGTCTTTCTCACACAGCCTCCCCGCCTCTCACATTTGAGTGTTCCTTCAGAGCAGTAGTTCTTGAGCTAAGTCAGAGAAACCTGTCACAAGGAAGCAATTTCTGCTGTGTATCAGATCACCTGTGTAACATTCTAACATTGCAAAGCCCAGGGGACATCTTAAAAATTCAGTTTAAACAGCTGTCTAGCTAAGACAGGTGCCTATTCAGAATGAGAAACCTTCTTGTGAAAGTAGAAGCAACTCTTCTGCTCTCTTCTGCACAGGGGAAGAGTCCAAATTCTGTTAAATTGCAGATTCTGACTGGGTGCAGTGGGCCAGAGACCATGTATCTGACAGGCTCTAAGGGGGAGGTTGATCTCAATAGCCTGTGGTGCTCACTTGGAATCCCGAGGCTGATTGGGGCACAGGTGTCTCACTAATTCCAGCATCTGCCTCTGTTGTGTCTTTAGCTTGCATCTGTCATCACCAGACACAGAGCCCCAGATATCATCAAAAAAGGGGATTATTTTTTTATGACACAGAAACCCAGCTCGGCCCCAGGTCTTCCCCGTGTTCTCAAAAGCTCTCTGGTTTTAATTTTTCCCACAGGAAGGTAACAAAAATAACACTCCTGATGAGAAGTAGTCAAGCTTGGTGATAATTGAAGAGAGGACCCTTCTATCTCACGTTGTCACCAGACTGTCTCCTGCATCCAGAGGTAAAAACTCAACCAGAATTCTCAGTAGGACATGCAGCTTTAGGTGTAAAGTGGGAGATGTCCTGTGTGTTCAAGGAAGAAGGGACTGTGGTAAAAGGTTGGATTCCTCTGGGTTGCCTGGTTTTCAAGAAACAGTTTCAGGTAGAGCATTCCTGTCCAAGTCTTGTTTTTTTTTTTTTTTTGGATGTGTTCGTCCACTACTCACTGTTGGGAAAACCTCTGAGTTATCCCTGGGAAGATACCTTGCGGTCACCAGACTTGCCTATGGATAATATTAGGCACGGAGTAGAGAACAACACAGAAACCCCTGAGAGAAGAGGTGCTCCTAGGCTCTGTCAAGGTAAAAAACACTCAAGACTTGCACAGCAATGTAATGAGTTTATCTAAGCCAAAGTGACCCCATATGCCCCGCAGAAAGGACTCAAATGCTTTAAACAAAAGCAGTTTTTCAGCTCATTTCATACATTATTATCAAAGTAGAAAATGATAAACTTTGGAAAAATCCAAGAGGAGGTGAAAGAAAACATAGCAGAGAAATCTCCAGAATTGGGGGAAAAAAGCAAAATGGAAAAACATCTATTTTATATGCTCAGTAGAGGATAATTAGCATCTACAGGACACAGACAAGTTGCACAGGGGACCAAGTAACATAAAGGATGCTGTGGTCTCACACACTTGTTCCAGACTCTGTGACGTGAATGCTTCAGCCAAGAAAATCATTTGATGTGTCCAAGTTTTGTTACCCAATATGCACAAAAGTAGGTCAGTGTTCACTTAAATTAAAGACTGAACTTTTTAAGGAAGATATAGCCTGGGTTGTGACAACCTGTCAAGTTAAAAATTTCTGACCAGAATATTTTGTGAGGATCATCAGGCCTGCCATGTGGCCCCCTGAGCTTCTCAGGGTTACTTCCAGCCCGTTTTTGTTAACAGTCTACAAGAAGCATGTGAGACAGAGCAGCCAGGAGAGAGGACTGGATAAAGGCCTGTGAAAACAATGGATGAAATCAGACTACTTTTTAATCTTGGTCAAAGCCCAGTTCTTGTATCTATTTCCTGTGTGTCTCAATTTTTCTGCATAGAGGACAGAATTAGACCTGCGGCCAATGTCAAATGCTACACAAGGTTGCTGACCAGTACAGCGTAAACCCAGTGAAAAGGCAGACATTGTCCAGAATATTATGAGTACAGTGTCAGGAGAACTGTCCTATCAGGGGCATGTGCTGAGTCAGACAGCACTTGCTGCTTTCAAGTATCAAAATGAAGAGCCTAGTGAAGGTTCTCCTGAGGTTGTTGGAAGAGGGAGCTAGCATGCAGGGTTCATTCAAAATATATCCTGTGTGTCTGCCATAACTACATTAGGATGTTGCATACAAGTCATTTCTGTGTCCCTGTCTGCCACAGGGCACAAGGGCAGGAGTATCTTCACCTGAATGAATACTCGACTGGAGGTCGTGAGTTCTTTTGTTAGGAGAAGAGAGATTCTTGTAGAACCTGCAGCCCCTCTGAAATGGAAACAGCCAGATTCTGGGGTCTTCTCTCCCATTCTTCACAGGAAGTTTCCCTTGTTCCCCAGGGCATCATGACCTACACAGATGACTTTAGAAAAAAAAAAAAAAGGCAGGTGTCCCCAGATCAGGAATTGTGGGAATGATAAGTCATCCCAGATTCCTGTAAGGTCAGAGTGTGCTCTTTCCATTCCTGGGAGTAACTATATCAGGGGTTGAGGATTCAGAGTTTCTGTGTGGTCAGCTATCTGTGAGAACAAAAAAAGCACAGGTCTTGGGTGATAAGACATAACCTAGAAGGTGGAACTGTGAAGGGCTGTGACTCTAGAAGAATGAAATTCAGCCCAACCCCCACTGTTAGGAGGTTCCTTTTATTCTTCCTGAATGTATGAGAAATGAAAGCCTGACTGTAGGATGTCCCAAAGGTCATGGTGGCTTCCTGTCATGCTGACACAAAAGCCTTTTTATCTATAAGAGATGTAATTTCACTGCAATTGTCACACAAACTGCAAGGCTTCTACTGGGCAGTGTCCCTTATTCATTTAAAGCCTGTTTACAGAGCTTCTGTCATGTGTCAGGCTCTTGGCCGAGCCCTGGAAACTCCAAACAAGTGTGGGCCCTCTGCTCATTGACTTTACCTTGTAACAGACACAGGCTGTCAGGTAAATCATGGCCCAAGAACTTAATCATAACCTAGTGAAAGATCTCAAAAGAAAACTTCTGGTTCCTCCAGAGTATGTATTGAGTCTCAGCTGGTCTGGGGAACATGAAGAGCACTTCTGAGAAAGGAACCTCTTGGCTGAAACCTGGAGAGTTAGTGGACATTTACTCCATAAAAAGAGATGGTGTTAAAAACAAAATTTTGGAGGACTTCCGCCAAGATGGAGGCATAGATGGATGTACCTTGCCTTCTCACACAACCAAGTTTAGAGATAACTAAATATTAGCAACAGAAAACACAGCCAAAACACGGAAAATTGAACTTTTCGGAAGTCCGTTAACAACAAATTCTTCAGCCTGACCAGTAAGGGGCAAAACCAGTGGCTGGTGAGGGGTTGCACAGGAGGACTCTGTCAGAGGGACTCAGGCACGGAATCCAGACACGCGGAATCCAGGCACAGGGTTGGACCTAGTGAGCGACCAAGCGAGCCACCAGGCGAGAGACCGCGGAGGAGACAGCTGGGAAGCGGTGCTGCGTGTTGACTGTGGTCGCCCATTTGTGCGCGAGCGGACAGGCGAGGGAGTGGGTGGTTGGACTGGGGCCCAGCGGGTCCCCACAGCAAGCGGCAGTAGAGGGCCACCATTTCCCCGCTCTGACCACGCCCCCACATACAGCGTCACCACCCAGCGACCTGGGAGTCTAAGGCACCGCTTCTCACACTTAAAGGGCCAGAACAGACCAAAAATGTCACAAGATCTAAAACCCCACAGCCCATAGATCTAAGTGATGAAGAAATAGCAAAACTCTCAGACGCACAGTTTAAAACACTGGTCATCCGGATCCTCACAGAACTGGTTGATTATAGCCACAAATTACACAAATATATGAAGGCAAAACTAATTGAAATGAATGGAATTACACAGGACACCAATAGCAATGAAGAGGAAACTGGGACTCAAATCAATGGAGTGGACCAGAAGAAAGCAAATAATGGCCAAACAGAAAAGAGTCAGGAAGCAAGAATTCAAAGAAATGAGGAGAGTCTTAGGAACCTCCAGGACATCTTTAAATGCTCCAACATCCGAATTATAGGGGTACCAGAAGGGGGAAAGGCACAGCCACCAGTGGAAAACTTATTTGAACAAATAATAAAGGAGAATTTCCCCAATCTGGCAAAGGAAATAGACTTCCAGGAAATCCAGGAAGCTCAGAGAGTCCCAAAGAAGTTGGACCCAAGAAGGAACACACCAAGGCACATCATCATTACATTAGCCAAGATTAAAATGAAGGAGAGAATCCTAGAAGCAGCAAGAGATAAGGGGACAGTCACCTACAAATGAGTCCCCATCAGACTGTCAGCAGATTTCTCAAAAGAGACCTTACAGGCAAGAAGGGGCTGGAAAGAGGTATTCCAAGTCATGAAATCCAAAGACCTACAACCAAGATTGCTCTATCCAGCAAAACTTTCATTTAGAATGGAAAGACAGATAAGGTGCTTCTCAGATAAGATCAAATTCAAGGAGTTCATCATCACCAAGCCCTTATTATATGAAATGTTAAAGGGACTTTTCGAAGAAAAAGAAGTTAAAGAAACATGAACAGTGAAAGGACAGCAAACTCACAGTTATTAACAACCACACCTAAAACGAAAGCAAACTAAAAGGACAGCTAGAGCAGGAGTAGAAACATAGAAATGAAGATC